ATGGGTGGCTTTGAAAGTTTGTTGTTTGGGCAGTGGGCAAGTTTACTGAAAAGGTTTGGAAGGTAGAGATAACACCTTCCTCTAGAACAAATGGTTAGTTGGGCATGCTTATTGCTTGCTATAAAGACTCGGGATCCCAACTCCTAAAGTTTCTCTCCTCAACCAACCTACTGAATAGACAGCTACATCTAGCTTTGTTTGCTCCGAGTTGCTCTTTAGAGATTGGAACTCATGGAATTGACTGAAGAATCTGTGAACATTATAGCTATTCCTTTTTTATATGAATTCTTGAGTTTCCACACAGGAGTTTTATGTATTTTTCCAGCATCTTTGTGCTTATGGAAACCAAACTTGGTAGTGTAAAAGTAGGATGAATTCTCAGATTTTTTTGCATTAAGTAGCAAATACTTATAAACAAATGGTCGGTAGCCAACAGCATACAAATTGCATTCTATGTTGTCCTTTTACAACCCTCCACAAAAAACCCTTCATGGATTCTGAGGTTTTGTCTGACATACTTTGGGCATGTTGCAAGGAGGAACCAGTCCCTGGAGAGGGACATCATGCTTGGAAGGGTGGAGTTATGGAGAAACAGGGAGCCCACCAGTGAGATGGATTGATTCAGTGCCTGGGATAATGAGGGTAGGTATGTCAGACACAGGAAAGGTGGCACAGGATAGAGTGGGTTTCAGAGCTGTTGTACTTAGGTTTGCTATGAGTCTCAAGTGACTCAGTGGCATATAATAACATATATTATTCACATAAATGTTGCATAGAGTTTTCAGATTTCTACTGTTAAAATAAGAGTTTGGAATAATTTTGCTATTTCTGTTTAATGACACTTTTAAAAGTATAATAAACCATCTGTTTTTCTTATGCATATTAAATTGTATTATATATACATATATATATATATGTCTGTGTGTATTCATGTCTTCTAAACCCAAATCAATTCTTGCATTTATCTAATCATATGTTTAAGAATTAATCTCAGTCTCATAAATGTCATTATGATGTATTCTTTACCACTATTACAGAATATTGGAAAGAAAATGACCTGCCAGGAGTTCATTGCAAATCTCCAAGGAGTAAATGAGGGTGGTGATTTCTCCAAGGACCTGCTGAAGGTAAGGATGGAAATACTGCATTTTAAAATAGATTTTGGTGTGTGTATTTGTTGTTTGCTTTATTGATTCTTTTTCTTGTTTTGTTTTTCCCCTGATATTTTTCTCTTGAAGGCAGTCCTTGATGTTTCCGATTTCAAAATGCTTAAGCTAATAATTCTTAAAAGACTACATTGTTGTCAGTAATACTAAGATAGTAGGAATATTTGGAGTAGTTTTTGATGGAAATAATGAGCAGTGTTGAGCTTTTATTTGCAAGCAAGCCCATACATGAGAAAGGTCATAAAGGTATAGTCCCTGTGGAAACAAAAAAACATGTTTGCAAATCAGAGAGGATGCAGTTCTGATTGTATTCACTTTATCAACAGAGGCACACAGGTTATCTCTGGAGAGGGATTATGAAATAAAAGAAATCTGAATAATTATGGAATGCATGAATTATTTGCACCTAACTTTATTATTGGCAACAATCAGCTTGTTCATCCAGACCCTTAAATTATTTTCAAAATGACAGTAGGTTCAGCTTTGGAATTCACATCTGCATCAGCATAAATAAGACGTAAATTTGATCAAATGCAAAGTAAGTATTGATAATGAATGGGAGCATTTTAGAAGTTTAGAGTAAGATGTGTGTATCGAGGATGTGACTTTCTAGGTGTTTTTCTTGAAACTTAGTACCTATATAGATCTCTCTTAGTTTTGGTTTGTTTCTGTGAACTTGCTAGGAGATTTGAATCATACTATAACGTGTATCTGCTGGAAAATTTTTCTTTTGCTCCATGTAATTTTTCGTCTCTATAGAATAGAATTATTCCAGATTTCTATAGAGATACATACTACAGAAAATGAAAGACTATTTTAAAACCAAAGAATTACCAGATTCTAAATCTGAAGCGCCCTTGATAAAAAAAAAGATTGTGAAAAATGCAAGAATAGAAATAGCTTCTTGTTGTTGTTAGGTGTTGTTAAGTACGACTCTTACAGACCTTATGAAAAATAGATGTGCTAAATAAGACAGGTCATTTTCAGTTTGTTCCTTTTAAAGTACAAATGCTGTTATTTATGAAGCTACAACTTTATATGAGCTACAGGAAATAAAAGGTGAAGGATTGTGACATGATCAGTTTATCCTGTACATTTCGTTGACGTTATGTAATAAATGCATTTTTCAGTCTAGTGATATTGACATGGAAAATAATGGAATCTCCTGGTGGGGATTTATGAGGTTTTTATCAAGTTATGTCAGAAGTGAAGACTGACAGGACAGTTGTGATAGTTAAACTTTCAGATTTTGGTGACGAGCTTATTGAAACCCGCCTGTGAGTACAAGTGCATTTGATTGAAGTGTCCACAACCAAATGTAGTTATTGTCCACTAGTTGCTATTTACCTCAGGTGAGCATATTTTCTCCGTTGATTTGCTCTGATAAGTGTTTGCCAGGTGATTTGTTGCAGTTGTGTGATTTAGAAGTAAGTCCCAAGTGCAAAAATAAATACTGTGCTGTTAGTCACTTATTAGGGAGAAAGTGGCAGTTAAATGACACTGAAAATGACAATTGTGGTTTACATGGAAATTTTCAAGTAAACATTGATTCTCTTTCCTAACAAAAGCATGTCACTCACCCAAGACAAAAATATTTCACTTAAAAATCTGGATGTTACCATAAGATGAAATAAAAACACTTTTAAATTTCTTTTATAATTTCACCGTTTCATGTGACTCTTCTTTTCTCTCCTTCTTTATTGCTACCATTTTTTGCTCTTTCCTCCCCCCGCCCCCCGTTTTTCATTTTCTTTACTTTTTACTTGCTTTCATATTGTAATTTTAGGAGATCTCTAGATTCCTGATTGACATAACTTATTTGAAATTTATTTTTGTCTGGGATGAGTAAATACAATTATACGTGGTTAAATGTGGTTAAATTGGTTCTCATTCATAATGACCCAACAAAAGACTGTCTGGTCCTATACAGTCTTCATCATTGTTGCTGTTCTTGAACCCATTGTTGTCGTTATGTCAATCCCTCTCATTGAATGTCTTCCTTCTTTTCACTGATTATTTTACCAAGCACAATATCTTTCTCCAGTTCTTGGTTCTTCCTGATACTATGTCCAAAGTAGGCAAGGAGAAGTCTTGCCACTGTCAATGCTAAAGGAGAAACATTCTGACTGTACTCCTTCCAAGGCATACTTGTCTCTTCTTCTGACATATTCAATATTTTTCACCAACACCATAATTCTAATGCATCAATAATCCTTATTTTTTGTCCAGTTTTCATATGCCAGCTAGTCAATTGAAAATAACATGACCGGGGTCAGGTATATCTTAGACTTAAAAGTGTAACACATTTTCTGAAGTAGATTTATGTATTCAAATAAACATTTTGTGTTGCTTCACAGAGTTCCTTGTAGCTCTGCACTTTTGTAACTTCTTCCTCCAGCTGAAAATTGAAGACCTGTGTGATACTCAGTTGTATTATGATACTCAAAAATACTATGGCTTTATTATACTTTATCCCCAAAGTTTAGAGAAATTACTACATTTAATAGAAATATGTTTAAAGGTTTCCTTGATAGCACAGAATTGTGCATCAGAAATGACTTGATGGCAGTAGATCTGGGGTGGTGATATTTTTGTTGTTATTGTCATAATGAAGAATAGAAGACTTAGATAAAATAACTCCTGCATTGATTTAAGAGTTTCTGTGTCAAGGATCCTTCAGCAAAAAAGACAAGCTTACTCTTTCAGAGTTCTGGTTTGATAGGGATGGGCAAGTCAGCAATTGGCTGTCTAAAAGGGAGACTTGGGGCATGAGGTATGAAATAGCTGGTTTACATGCTTTCACAAAAGTAGTTGTTGGTAGGATGATTGTAAGGGGGGAAAACACCTCACAATAGAAAAACTATATGTTGTTGTTGTTATGTGCCGTCGAGTCGTTTCCGACTCATAGCGACCCTATGCACAACAGCCCTAAACCCTGCTCTATCCTGCGCCAACCGC